ATTATTATTATTACTTAAATATTTCTTTGTTATTATATACTAAAATCCAAAGATTGCACGAACAAAAATGATTAATGGAATGCAGGTAAGGAATCATATAAAGGAAAAAAAGTGGAACACGAGACAGCACATGTTCCCTAATCCTATGTCACAGCTGTCAGGTACAAAGATGAGGACAAGGTATACTTGCTGCATCAGAGATCAGCATTGTTATCCTTAAAATACAATTAGTTTCTCTGAACAGGTGGGTAAAAATAGAGGACAGATTGAGTGGCACTGGAAAGTTACATGATGACACACTCCAAACCTTTCTTAAAGGACGTGGAACAAAATACCTGGGCTGATTAAATATTAAGTAATTATTGCCCCCTTACATTAAGAGAGTCATGTGTTTAAAGTAAAAGCTTTTTTTTTCCTGACCAATACAAATTTGTTATTGGTGTAGACATTCCTGTTAAAACAGAGACTTGGAGAAAAAAAGATACTGTACTTATTAATATTAAACTTACTGGCTTACTTTCAAGATACTGCCGTCTTTCTTTGTGTGTCTAGGGTGATGTTTCCAGATATAGTTGCCTATTCTTTAAAAAGCCATTGGCTTGAATCACCTTCTTCACTAATTTTCATCTGTCTGTCAGTAAAGAGCTTTGGTACATTATGTTACCAGTACATTTTTTCTAGAAGCTAACTAAGAGGAAAATGTCTGACGCAAACCAATTTTTTAGACTACAGTGTTGCACATTTTTGCTTGTTTGCAGAATAGAAAACGTACTCAATCCTTTTTAAGCCACTGAGTATTGGACTGCATAATCATTTAATTACATTCACAATAAATATAAATCTTCTAGACCCAGGATCCCTGTTGATTAAGATGAAAGTCGTTTGAAACAAATTGTTTGAATACCTTGATTTTAAATGCAAACTGTTGTCATCAGTTTTTTTTATCAGTGCTCAACATGCGAATTGCAAATTACTAGTTTGAAAGCACCTGACAGACATTTTGGAGTGCAAATGAGAAAGAACAGCTGTAGGTTAAATAATGCGATATATACTGATATCTATTTTTTGGTCAGTCTATACAATTCATGTAAGGCAAGGCCCAATGAAGGGAACTAATTTTAGTTTTTCTTTGCATTCCAGAAAAGGAAGGGGTTTAGGCAATGCTATGTTATATATCCTTTGTCACAATGTTGTGTATTGGGCCACAAATGTATTTGTATGCTGACCAAGATGGATAGGTTCCTTTGAAAAGGAATTTCACAGTCAGCTGACAATTTCTTCCGAAAAGAAGAAATGTGATCCTTCGAATTCCAGTCCTTTTTTTATACAGAGGCACTGATCACATGTTTAACATGCAACTCTCTGACTAAAGACTAATAAAGTCATTAACCTTTTAGCCACCTTTTATAACCTTTTTATGCCACTGTCCTGTAAAACATCTCTTTGATTTATTCTGTGAACATTTGAATCAATTATTAATTATAAGGCTTGGCTGAAAATACCGATAGCTTTGTTTAGTTGCCTGCAAAGTTGCACTTGTGTCACCCTTGCTGTCTGGATAAAAATCAACATGATGCCCTTGACAGGAATGAACTCACTGCATATTTAAATTGTGCCAGAATCAGTTCCCGTCAGCACAATTTAATTGTTAATGGCACATCCACGGGTATAGGGAGTGATCCTTCTTAGTGCTGTGTGCATCAAAACCTATTGCATGGAGACTTTACTGAGGCAGCATGAGTAAAGTCACTTGCACTTAGCTAAACTGTTGTGGAACATTCATCAGAAAAAGTACTTCAGGGAGACTACCTGACACTTATTTATCCCATGCTGGCTGTAGCCTTCGTAAAAGGTTAATTTGCTTTGACATCTAGAAAGAAGTCAAAGAAGTGGTAGGTAAACAGCTAGTGTCTGTAGTATAATATCATCAGGATCTACTAGGATTAGTGTCAGTGCATAATGGTGGTCTGTGATTTGTTGCTCAAATGATAATTAAATGTAGAAAAAGATGAAAGCAGTTTGAAATGCAGTTTATGCTGTTTGAAGTGTAGCATACCCTGAGCTGTTGAACCTAATTAAATTATTACAGTTGGAATGGTCCCAGAGCTTTTATTTGTCCCATGGGTTATGGTAATTGATGTCATAAATAAGTATTTTGTATGTTTTCTAGCAAACGAATTACAGTAATAATATGCTAAGACACGAATTAAATGGAGCTGGTATATACAGTATGAAAAAAGCATGTTTGTCTTTGCATTTTTCTTTATTACATTAATTAAAGTTGTCTTTTAATCCTCCCTTTTTGAAGAGATTTTTATAATTGGATTTGGGTAGCAAGTTTTAGGGGTCTTGCTGTTTAGCCACCAATATGCCATTGTCTTTTTAATACATTTAATTTGTTTAAAAATGTATTAATAAATACATTTTCCTGAAGTTTTATTCTAAACTGGGTTGAATCCCAATAAGGCATCTTATGGGCAGAGTGGTGGCTCTGTGGCTAAGGAGCTGTGCCTGCTGCTGGAAGGTTGCTGGCTCAAATCCCACAGCTGGGAGAGGAGAGGAATCCTACTCTGTTGGGCCCCTGAACAAGGTCCTTAACCTCAACTGCTCTAGGGTTGCTGTATAAATGGCTGATCCTGCACTCTGACCCCAAGCTTCTCTCACCTTGTCTGTGTGTCTCCTGGAGAGCAAGCTGGGGTATGTGAAAAGACATTCCTACTGTGAGAAATTGTATAGGGTTAATAAAGTGATCTTATCTTACTGTATGTGGTAATATCACTACATACAGTAGTGTGGAAAAAATAAGAGAACTCTAGTTTCCGGGGTTATTTCTAGGCTCATATAAAACCAATGAAAGCTAAAAAAGGTTTTAAGGTTTGTAGATATACAGTATGTTTTTTTATACACAGAACAGTGCCTAACCAAGAACATGTGTGCTGAACAATTATGGAAATAACACTAGTAAACACTTAGTAAAACTAAGACCAAGCCCGTCTACATTGTATGGGTGACAGGGCCTTCTCCTGTTATGCCCCCAAGCTCTGGAACTCTTTGCCCTAGGATATCAGAGAGTCACCTTCTCTAAACTCCTTCAAATCCAGACTCAAAACCTTCTTCTTCAGAAAAGCCTTTACTTAACTGGTTCCATTCTTCACCCCTCTGCTCTTCTTAGTACCACCTTCCACGGTCTCCTCTATTGTTATTGTTGTATTGTTGTAATTGTAATATTCTTGTATATATCTTTGTATTCTTCCTATTTATTGTTGTATTCTTCTTATTTATTGTTATTGTCATCCTGCAAAGCGCTTTGAGAAGCCACCTTTAAAGGCGCTATATAAAATAAAGTTTATTATTATTATAAATGTTTAAATCAAATAGGTATGTGAAAAGTTAATTTCTGACTTACTGACTCAGACAAAAATTAATTCCTTTAAGTAATGTGTTTTATTTGAGTGAAATTCAAGTTGAATCATTTATAGATTTCCATTTACAAAGGAGTAAAATAATTTGTGATATTCATAATTTTCTCAGATACTATCAATATACATATTCATATTAATACATTTGGTTTAACAGCACTTTATCAACAAAGATGTATCATTAATCATGTAATTGCAGTATCGTTAACTTATCCTGTGCGCTAGTAAAGTTGTTGTGAAGCAATTTAAGTATAGCTTTTTTAACTTCCAACACAAAAAAGCATTTAGTATATACCTGGAGGGTACAGGGCCTGTCAGTGGTGTTCAAATAGTCCAAGAGAATAGAAGAAATTCCCTGCTTGACATCAAACTGCGATGATTCCCATGAGCTCTCTCACAGCGAGATGCCAGAGGTCATGTGACCTTACTAATGTAGAATGTGTCGAACTTTGTAATACAAAGTTCCGTATGGGTGCAAACAAAGAGTACATTTCTTAGGGTTTACAGTAACACTTCCTCAAACCCTCTAAATGAGAATGTGAACTCTATTGAGTGTCATGTCAAACTGCTTTTATTAAAACAGCAACATAATGTAGCCTTCTCACAGCTGGTTTAATACCATAAAAACCATAGTGTGTGGGAAAATGCAAATTGCTTTAATAAATCATAATTTCCATAAGACAAATGAAAAAAAACCATACAAAAGTGTTTCATATTTTCCTAAATGAACATAGTTTACTTTCATAAAATCTGGATTGTTTAATTAATATTGCCCATTTATTGTGTTCTAATGTATGTAGTATTATTTAGAGCACTCTAGAAAATTCTTAAGCAATGCAACTTCAGAGAAATGTTACCTTAAATCATGAAGTTGAATTGAACCGATTGAAATATCTTTCCTAAACTGGGAACAAAACTAAGAAACATTTCCTCAAAGGTATTTGACAGTTACTGCCAGCAAAAACCGCTACTGGATTATGAACAAAGGGTTCTCTCAAAGTCTTGGCTGACTTCCACTTTCTCCATTACCAGGAAATATTTTACCTTGGTAATGTGCACTTTTTCTGAACAGAAGAAAGCCATTTACTGTATTACCAGAGAGTCTTGGAAACTTCCAGCTTCAGGGTCTGCTGAAAGAACACGAGCAGCACAAACTAAAAGTGAAAACCAGAGAAATCAATAACGCTGAAATATTGGTGTCTCTTCAAATTGTAACCCCTTCCATCCTGTGGGAGAAACATATTCAGAAAAAGAGATTAGACAGAAGAAATTATATAATACTACTAATAATAATAATATAGTGTGCTAGGGCATTATTTCAACAATGTAATGTACTAGTAATAATAATAACAACTATAATACATAATAAAATGTCCCTGCCATAACTGAATGCATAGAAGAAAGCACTTATTTTTTTATTAGGTGAATCCCGCTATGATTTACTCATACTGTAGATTGTGTCTTAAGTGTCTAAGGAGACATGTTGTACTACTGCATATCTTGTAGGCAGTGAGGATCATGGAACTGGCCCTGCAGAAGTATGGAAACTATGAAACATTTGAGCAGGTGACTGGTGGCAGCCTTCTTTCGAAGAGCCGGATATGGAACCATGTGAAAAAATACATGGAGAAAGAAGGTTGTATGGGAGAGGTGAGGTACAGTTGTGCTACAGTACTGTGGTAATCTCAGTTATGAAGTACAGACATAAAACATAACTTTTTATTATCTTTGTGGCATATCTTGTCTCACAATAACTAATACTATCTAACATTTAGATATATACTATACTTAATATTTAATTTATAATATGTACTGTATAAAATAATGAACTCATTTAAAGAACATCTGAATGATCTCATCTTTTTGTTTCAGGGGAAAATGTGGAATCGCTTATCAAATCTCTTGTTTAGATTAGATCGCTGTTTTTGTCATTACACCCACTTGCAGCATATTTGCAGTAAATCATTTTCACTGATGGGTTTTTCATCAGACAGTAATTGCATAGTAATGCTTACTGAATCACACTTCACAATAAAACGAAATCTTACGGAGATACTTGTACTTCCAGATTTATTGCAGTCTTAAGGAACAGTCGTCACCGTACCTGTGTATGGTATGCTAGTCTGCAACACTAGAGACACTTCAGTGGAGCTGTGACACTCTCAGTGAGAAAAATAATTTAAAATGTTATTGTAATTTTCAATATACTCACATGCAGTTACCTGCAGCGTAAGAGCATGTTGGCCTGATCAGTTAGTGCATCTGTATACCTAATGTATATGTGTACTATTTTAGAATCAATAAAAGATTTTTAATGTCTGATGTTCCCCAAAGGATCTGTAGTAGGTTACAGTCTTTGCACGTTTTTAAAACTGTAATTTACTGCTTGGAGTACTGCAGAACTGTTAAATGGAGAATGGTTTATTTTTTAATGCTTGTTGCAGCTATAGCAATGCTGGGTATTCTGGAGCTGTTCATATGTGTGCTAGTTTGACTTAAATAATAGTAATTATTTAAGTCTTGGCCGCTGTCATCATCGTTAACCCTTTGAGATCGTTCTTCTTGTATGCATCATTAGATACAGAAGGTAATTGTTTTCTTTGGCAGATTGTGGTTCACTTGACAAATGACCTTCTCTCCAGAGCCTCAATGACAGTAGTCAACGGCCGTCCAACTCTAACCATCAACATCTCCACTGCTCGGGAGCACTGGCTGGAAGGCATGTTAAGGCACGAAATAGGTCTGTAAGTCCTCTTGTGCTGCACGTTTGGCTTTTACTTTGTCTATGTTTAACTAAGACTGAATAAAAACAAGCATCGTGAACAAGAGGAACAAGTAATAGGTTTATTCCATGCTGAAAAAAAGAAGAAAGAGAACACAACGTTTCGGCCGTGGAGCCTTCTTCAGGTGTGAGAGAGACAGGGCAGTAGGCAAAGGTAAAGTAGCGGTAAAGTAGCGGGAGAACAAAGGTTGGTTGCCTACTGCCCTGTCTCTCTCACACCTGAAGAAGGCTCCACGGCCGAAACGTTGTGTTCTCTTTCTTCTTTTTTTCAGCATGGAATAAACCTATTACTTGTTCCTTTGCAACCTACGCATGCTGACGCAGCTACCCACCTGAACTATCGTGAACAAGATTTGATTTCAAAGGAGAATAGCATAAAAAATCAAGTTCAAGTTTATTGGCATTATACTCATATACAGGTATATGCTATAATGAAATGCTGTTTAGCTAGCTCTCAGACGATACGTAGTACAAAAAAACAACAACAACAACAACAATACAATTGTCTAATAAAAGAAAGAGACAACAGGCAGTGTGCAAAAACAACAACAGGCAGTGTGCAAAACAACAAAAAGGTAACAGGTAATGTGCAGAAACATGCATCAACAGAATGAAAGGATAGAAATTACGGGGAGTGAGCTTTTTGACATGTAAGGTAGAGGTAGATTTCAATGTGTGAGTTTTTGGTAAGAAAGAAGTCACTGTGAGATAAGAAAGAAGGCACTGTGATAATTCAATTCAAGCTTTATTGTCCCCTAGGGGAAATTTGTTTTACGGCACAGTCAACCACAACACAATGACAAATACACACCATCAAAAGGGAAGATAATACAGTAGTGTTACAGGAGAAAAGAAACAAGAGACAAGGTACTGTAGTTACTTTGCATTGTTTAAGAGTGTACTTGCAGTGGGGTTGAAAGATTTCCTGACTCTGATGGTTTTACACCTGGGGGCACAGAGGTGTCTCCCAGATGGGAGACGTGTGAATTCACAATGGAAGGGGTGAGACACACACTCTATGATGCTTTTGGTTTTCTTAGTCACCCTCTGTTTGTAAAGGATGCTGATTTGATTATTCCTGATTATTCTGCCACTTATATTCACTAATTTACCCAGCCTGTTACAATTACTGGTACTTATGTTGCCAAACCAACAAGTGCAGCAGGATGTTAAGACACTTTCAATGAAAGATTTGTAGAAAAGTGTAAGAATAGTTTTATCTACCTTAAAGTAGCTGAGTTTTCTAAGAAAGAAGCGTCTCTGTTGACCTTTTTTATAGATAGTGTCACAACATTTGTCCCATTTTAGGTTTTTGTCAATGACCAGTCCCAAGTACTTACAGTCATCTACAATTTCAACAGACTGACCATCAATTGTAGTGGGTTGAGGGGGTGTGGTATTTTTCCTTAAATCAATAACCAGTTCCTTTCTTTTTGAAACATTTAACTTTAGGGAGAACGCATTGCACCACTGAGTAAAAGTATTTAGAATGGGCCCATGATGGTATTCTATGTCCTTTAATAAACTGACTGGCTGTGTCATCAGCAAACTTAATGAGATGTCCATCTGTGTGTTTGCTTATGCAATCATTAGTGTACAAAATGTACAGCAGAGGGGACAAGACACAGCCCTGCGGTGATCCAATTGATGTGTAGCAATGTCAGATAAGCACTTCCCCAATTTGACCTGCTGAGACCTGTTAGTTAGGAAGTCTAGCACCCACCTCATCAAGTTACCATTCAGATTGAAGTACTTGGAGAGTTCCTGTGCAAGCAACAGTGGTTGTATTGTGTTGAAAGCAGAGGAGAAGTCAGCAAATAAAATGCAAATAACAAGTATTTAAGGAGAGCTTTGTTTTGCCTCTAGTATAGCATAATAACCTAGATTCCTTTCTCACTAATGTGTCAACTGAAGTAAAACGGTCAGTTTTTGTTTCAATAAAACGTGTCACTTGCTTTGTCTGAATAGTCTCACATTTGAGGCTGTATATACTGTATAAATGCAGTATATGGCACTTGCTTATTTGCTCTCTCTTGTTAGGCACTCATTATTTCCGGGGCATTAATAACAGCCTCCAGCCCTGGTGTAACTGGAGTGGGCGGAAAAGGCACAGCCTGAAGCCCATCAACCCCACAGAGGAGGGCCTGGCCAGCATCCACAGCGTGCTTTTCCGCAAGGACCCCATGCTGTGGAGAGCCGCACTGCTCTACTACACCGTATACCAGGCCAGCTGCATGTCCTTCACTGAGCTCTTCCACTCGGTGGGTCGCTTTGTCAAAGACCCCAATACCCGCTGGGACTATTGCGTACGGGCCAAGAGGGGTCAGACTGACACTGCTGTTCCAGGTAAGAAATCCCAGGCAGAATTCAACTGAAATATCTTCTTACTGTACTGTACTGGAGTGGGTGGCATTGTGATAAGATAAGATCACTTTATTGGCCATATACAATTTCTTCCATTAGGAATTCATCTTTTCATATACCTCAGCTTGCTCTCCATGAGACACACAGACAGGGAGAGAAGCTTGGGGTCAGAGCGCAGGGTCAGCCATTGCACAGCGCCCCTGGAGCAGCTGGGGTTAAGGGCCTTGCTCAGGGGTCCAACAGAGTAGGATTCCTCTGCCGGCCGCAGGATTTGCACCAGCAACCCTCCAGCCACAGGCGCAGATCCTTAGCCACAGTGCCACCGCTCTGCCTATGCAGTGATGCAGTGGTTAGTGTTGTAGTCTCATAGTGCAGGGGACCTGGATTCAAGTCTCAGTGTACTATCTGTGTGGAGTTTGCATGTTCTCTCCAAGTTTGCATGGGTTTCCTCTGTGTGCTCCGGTTTCTTCTTACACAGCAAAGACATACCAGTAGCTGAACTGGCTCCTGGGAAAATCAACCACAGTGCATTTTTGTGTTTCTGACATTCTGCCCCACAATGGCCTGGCGTCCCATCAAGGGTGTGTACCCTGCCTTGCGCCCGATGCTTGCCAGGATAGGCTCTGCAACCCTGAAATTGAAGAAGCAGTTCAAAAAAGGGATGGATGGACTATCATGTGGTCCCAAATTGTACTTCTGGTGGGCACTGCCATGCTGGATTTGGTCTTATTTTGATATTATTTCTTTATTTCTTCCGTTTTCTTTTATTAAACTAGAAACAAAACAGTATAGCATACCTAGTAACACATCTGCAGTTAATTTCAGATAACAGCTATAGACAATTGTACAAATAGAAAATATTCATTTCCTTGTTTTTTTTTATTTCTATTTGACTTTATTTCATTTTTGTCCTGTTAGGTTGTTTCAGTAAGGACCAGGTTTACTTGGATGGTATCCTCAAAATCCTGAGGCACAGAGAAAAAATCAACTTTCCACTCTTGACAGCTCTAGGGAAGGTAAGCATCAACATCATTATTATCGGTTCATTTAGCCAGCAGCCATATCACCCTGCAACTCACAACTGGCAGCCCACTGAAGCTTAGCAGGTGTGAGCCTGGTCAGTACCTGGATGGAAAACCTCCTGGGAAAAACTAAGGTTGCTGCTGGAAGAGGTGTTAGTGGGGCCAACAGCTCACCCTGTGGTCCATGTGGGTCCTAATGCCCCAGTATAGTGATGGGGACACTATACTGTGAACTGGTGCCGTCCTTCGGATGAGACGTAAAACCCAGGTCCTGACTCTCTGTGGTCATTAAAAATCCCAGGGTGTTTCTCGAAAAGAGTAGGGGTGTAACCCCGGCATCCTGGCCAAATTTCCCATTGGCCTTTACCAATCAATGGGAAAGCCTCCTAATAATCCCCATCTATGAATTGGCTTCATCACTCTGTTCTCCTCCCCACTGATAGCTGATGTGTGGTGAGCGTTCTGGCGCACTATGGCTGCCGTCGCATCATCCAGGTGGATGCTGCACATTGGTGGTGGTGGAGGGGAGTCCCCATTACCTGTAAAGCGCTTTGAGTGGAGTGTCCAGAAAAGCTCTATATAAGTGTAAGCAATTATTATTATTATTTAAACTATGAGAGAACGTTAGGTTATAACGTTAGGTTTATAACCTTTCTATATAAGAAAACTGATTATGTGGCTGCTGAGGTAACCGGTAAAGGCATTAGGGGTTTAAATGTGACCCAGGTCACTATCTAACTATGACCAGGATTGTTTGAGCAGCAGCGCAAAATTGTAAATTTTCAGGTAGTTAAAGCAACTGCAGTCTGACAATTTGGCAGCAGTGTACAGTAAGTCTTGGAATTTGATATTTATAAGAATTACATCGTATTTTTCCGAGAGTCACATTTTAAGTGTGGACTTTGTGAAAGAATAATTTGCTCAATTACTTCAAAAAAGAAAAAAAAAACATTATACTGACAAAGCTTTAAATGTAGTGAGTGGAGGTCTGTGCAAGAACAAACACCCCCCAAAATGATATTTTTTAATGGCATTGTAAACAATATTTCAGGAGACCTCAACTTGTCCGCTCCCACCTACCCGTTTATAAATATTACACTTCTCGCTGACTCACTTGAGCATTTTGTTTTTGTATTTGGCACTCCCCAGAGACAGGCCGTACCTCCATATTCTGTGGCTCCTCTTTTTCTTCAGTGTAAGTGAACACTTATCCTGAATCAGTAAGCTATGAATCTCTGGCAGATTTGAAAGCAAAACCAAAGTGAAAATAAAACAGAAACTTTGCACAAGTGTGCCGGTGGCCGGTGTTGCTGTGCTGACCTCCGTCTTTCCTTATACAGCCGCATCAGTCCTCTCATAACCTTTATAGGAGTCAAGTGCATCTTCATTTCTGATGTCTTTTCTGCAGGTGCACCTTTTGCCAGCCAAGCCTCTCCAGTCCAGCCTCCCTATGCCTTTAAAATAACTTGATTGCCCAACTTGCCAGCTGCCTTCCCTGATGCTGCCAGGCCTTGTTGCTCTCTGCCAGCCGCACAGTTACTCTTTCTTGTGTCAAACTCCTGATTTCCTCCACCCAGATTGTTTCAGCTGTGTGGGTAGTCAAGCCTCAGAGCTTCTTTCCCAGTGCTTCAGATTCCTTGTCAGATACA